TAGGTCTTCCTGATTGACCATGTTAGCTTGGTTTACAGGCATTTGCTTTTGTGTGTAAACCTCTGGTAACCCATAAAAATCCTTACCAGCAAGACTTGAAATCTGCAAGTTGTTTACCACATAGCTTGAAACTGTTGTTTTGGGACTCATTGTAAGCAAACACATTTTTGCTTTCGTCCATTCAGGTGAAGCTTCCTCATCAAACTTTCTGAACAGAAAGTAGAGGTACTGCCTGTGTCCAGAAATGCATAGGTCTGAACAATTTTGTTGCCCATTGCAGACTTTACTTGGACTGGAAGGATAGGTAAGATACCACTGCTACTCCTGGCCCCTATGACCACATGTTTGGGCAGATACCAGCGTGTTGTTGATAGTTGGTCCTACATACTGTTCATTGTTTGTGTTGACAGCTTTATCAACTTTGAGCTCTTTGAAATGAATGTGAAGAACACTAGGATGTTTCTGGTTGCACACTTTGCAAGTCAAGCACCTTTTACATTCTTTGCTCCTGTGTCCAACATGTAAGCAACCAAAACAGACAGCTTTTTCCTTTATAAAGTTGACCTTTTCCCTATGTTTCTTCTTTTCAAATTCTTTACATTGCTCCAAAGAATGACTTTGTGAACAGAACAAACAGGTGGTGGAGTTACTCTTGAATCGGCTGATTGGATGTTCAACATTTGCTTTTTGAATTTCACCAACAAGGGGTTTATCAACATTGGTGACACTGGTAGCAAAACTATCCCCTTTCAATTTAGGCTTTGACTGGGATTGTGATTTCCATTTGTAGACATCCTTTGGTTTACCAGTTGTTCTCATCTCTACGGTTTGAAGGGACCCAAATATTGGATCGGAGATGATTTTAACTTTGTATTCAATGAAGTTGACAACATCACTAAAATTGGTTCTTTGTCTCCGTCTTTCCATGATATCACGTGCAGTTGTTCTCCATTTTTCTCTGAGTTTAAATGAAAGCTTTAAAATTACTGCTGTCATGTTTGTTGGCATGTCTAGTTCTTGCATGTACTGTAGATCTGCCATCGCATTGCAACACCCGCGTAAGAAGAGTGCATACTCTTGAAGAGCGGTGATATCTTCATACCTGATAATGGGCCATCTAAGCACCTTCTCCATATATGCAGCAGAAACAAAATAATCTTCTCCAAAATGCTTTTTAAGCATAGCTTTAGCTGTATCATAACCTCTTTTAGGTGCCGTATTCATACAGCTTCGAACAATTTCTCTTGGGCGCCCTCTTGTGTACCTTTCAAGAAAATACAAGCAATCACCCTTGTTATTTGTTTTTTCCTCCACACAATGTTTAAAAGCCTTGGTGAACAAACTGGACTGCAATGGATCCCCTTCAAACACTGGAATCTCACGTGGTGGCAAGTGTTGAGACTTTTGCTGCTGTATTAGCAAATCTGTTATTTCTTGGTGTTTTTGAAGCATATTCTGTGTGAAACCAAACCTTCCATCATCTACTGGAGCATGTTGCTGTACATGATGAGACAATGCAGGTTGTGAGGTAACATTTGTGCTGCTTTGCAAAGTAGACCTTGGTTGTGTCTCAACTTCTGGATGTAGAGATGCAGTTGCTGATTTTGCTTGTTTGCTGACATAGGATTCCATTCCATCCGCTGCAATGCGGTCTACTCGTTGTTCAAAAGTCCTGAGCACAGATAGCTTTGCATTGGAGGCTGCGATTTTTGCATCAATATCCATTCCTTCCTTACGCGTCTGTAACATTTCTAATTGTTGCTCAATATCATGCTTCCCTTTTAAAGACTTTGCTTGAGCGACAAGAGTGGCTTTTTCCGCTTCAAGCTGAATGCGTGCAAGTTGCACAGAGGCATTAGATTTGCTAGAGCGTGAACTGTGGCGGCTACTTTTGCTGCTTGAAGTGCGACTACTGACCCTTGTTTCTACATTTGAAACGCTATCATTGGGTTCAATTTCGCTGGCAGCACGATCACATTCCTCCTGTAGCTTATCCAACCATTTGTTTACTACAGTGCTGAATTCCACAACCCATATCATTTTTGCTTTGAACCAGGTTTCATGCACAGATGATTCAACATTTTCACCCTCTGCTTTCGGAGTTTGAGCTTCATCATGCTCGATTACAGAACCAGGAAACTCCTTTTCGTCCGCCATTTTTAAACCTTTAAATACTCACTGCATATTTACATCAAACATCACCTTAAACGCCATAAACATGGGCGAACGTAGTCATTTCAAAAGATAAAACAGTTAATAATTTCACAAACACCCTTTTTTAACCACCAATGCATTGGGATTTTGTTCGTTTTGTGTGCACACTGCTTGTATATGGCCATTTAACTTAAGTTCAAATGAAAGCGCTTTTCACACCTCAGTTCCAGAAACGCTGAAGGCTGAAAACTTTGGCGTTCTTGTGCACTGTATCCTCTCCGTTTACCCGTGCGTGTTTGAAGTCCTTTGAAAGCCGCGATTTTCATCAAACGAAACGGTCATGAATGAGCATCATCCGACTTCAGATCAGCTGACTTTTCCTGTAGTCGTCCAATTTGATCCGCTTCAGTCGCCGCTGTCGGTGCGAAAGCTCACCCAGGCTCCTTCGGGCAAACTTTTTGACCTAAACTTGTAGGGACGCAGCTGGGCTTTAGGAGTCTGTTTCTGACGCGTGCTTTTGCCTTGAATAAATAAAGTCATTGTCCATACAATTGGAATAAAGTCAGACATGCCAATCCATTTATTTGTCCATTTGGCATTGCAAATAACAAAAATGAAATAAAAGAAAAATAAAGTTTCAAACTTAACTTCGACTTTCTATTAATAAACAAATATTCCATTCAAAACAAACTGTTAACGAGTACGAGCACAGTCCTGCACAAGACGCTGCACATCACGCTCGACCTGCACGGTCAAAAAGTTTGTTTGACCTTCCATCGTGCCACCTGTACCTCATCAGCGCTTGGCTTAAGTATACTCAAAAATGTTCATATGCCCTCTATGTCACAAACAAAAATTACAATTCAATAAATGGCTCCAACACGGCTATTGCTCCTATAACAGCTTTTTTATCAGTTCTTTTGTCTTTGGGTCTTTACATTTCTCACAGATTTCTGCTCGTTCTAAATCAGATACAAATAAAGTAACACAGTAAAGATTACATTAATATGAATGCATTAGTGAGCGAGCGATTGCGTGTGTGACTTAATTCTACCTGGCAGCGTTTCTCTACTAGAAGTGAAGCTGTGGAATTTAGTTATTAAAAATATATGCTTTAACTTTTCAGTTTCTAAGCTATTTTACTGAGAAATCACAGAACAGTGTTGACAATACAGCCTATGAGTGTGCGTTACAGTGCAGCAGCACATTAGATTAGAACGGCGATTAATTTACCTGTACAATAAGCTGTTTAAAACATGCATTCTCCCGTTCAATTTCAAGCATCCAGTAATATGTCAGACACGTGTCTTGTGGAGCTCTTTCAGAGCATGCATTTATTTGTCATTTGAACTGTTTTGAAAAAGGAGCGTAAATGTGGAATTCCTTCCAAGATTTCTTATCCTGTTGCGCCCTCTATAGGACCGGCGACTAGTCGACGTCAAGCTTAAAGCGTCATGGCAGAGCATTGAAGTCGTCTGTGCAACCCCTAATTATCAGTGGTGTAAACTGATAATAATGGATAACTACGGTCAAGTGGACTGAACAGATACAGGCACGCTTCTCGCTTCTGGATTGCAAAATAACGAAAGCGCTTTAGAGACTACTGCCTTGACATTATCGCATGTAGGAACAGTTGGCAAGATACAGTTAGCTTGATAATATTTATGAGGCAATAATAAATTGTAAGTGTATTTCCTTAATTTCCCCAGCACCAAACACAGAACAGTTAACATTAGAGTTTACTGATACAATGGTCTTTCGTAATTTAGCCTCAGGGCTTGTTTAATACTGGGTTCAGGTATTCATTCCTACTTACAAGAGAAGCACAGATGGATCAGTTGCAAAGCTACATGACAGTATATCGCGCATCTGCATTTCCTAAATACATCATAAGTGGAAGAATAACACATCTCTTAAAAGATCTCTTAAAAGTGTTGAGCAAGAACAGTTTGTAAAAGTGTCTACTTCATGAAAGAGTAAGCAAACTACAAGTGACATGCATTAAAAGACAACTGAACACAATATGAAACTCATAGGAAAGTACTATGATATAATTATTATCATGAAGCAAAATAATAAACAATATGTTTTGGATATTGTTCTTTGGGGAGGAACTCCATCTTTGAGTTGATCTGAATCTCACAGTTGAATCTGCTGGTTTTGAAGATGAAGATGAATTTTATTCACGGTGAAAACTTTAGAGAATGTTTCTTTGTCATGTCACTTGTAATGTCTGGTTAGAACGGATTTATCCAGAAGATATTTTTTTGCTTGACGCATTATTATCTGGCATTTGATGAGGACACAACATCAGATCTGAAAGTGCTGGATATGAAGATGATCTACTTACTGTGAATGTTTTTTGTATGACTGTGTAAAGAAGACGATTGACTGAAACACTTCCCACATGCAGTACAGTGATACGGTTTCTCTCCAGAGTGGATCCTCTCGTGTGTTTTCAGATTTGATGAATGAATGAATCTCTTGTCACAGTTCTTCTTGCTTTACGGCGGATCGCAGACTTATAAGTGCATTACCGCCACCTATAGCTCAAATGGACCATTGACACGCTATCTACAATCTCCTGATTAACGGAGAAGGGTGTTTCTTTGTTTTATTTATTTTTTATAAAATGCTTTATTGTCAACAAGTAGCATGTGTCGTTTGTTCATTTATTTTAGAATTCAGTTTTCTGAAACTGTAGTTTGACAAGTTACTTGCCTTCTACTCCTGCATGCTAATAAATGAGCCAATCGCTGATTGATCACAGTTTTTTAAATGATTTGAGTGTTTAGAAACAAACTTTATAAGACAGTTGTTGTCAGATTTCATTGGTGATTTCAAATATGAAATTTAATCGTAAGCTTGGTGAACAGCTTTGGAGAACTTGATGTTTCCTCATCCAAAGAGATAAAAGCTGCACTTTCATGACTGAAAGAACTGCCTGAGAGACTGAATGACTTAACTTTGACTGTCATGAACACATTTCTGTTCTCTGTTTCTATGTGAAGCTGTGGCAGGCGAAGAGAAGGAAGAGACCGTGACGGAGGGAGATTCTCCAACTCTACGGTCTGGTCTCATTGAAACAAATGCTAATGAAATGATAGAGTGGTGCTATAAAGCTGAAGACAATCGCATTGCTGAAATCAATGGAGGGACCAGAAGACCATCTACATTTGCAGGTGCTGATGTGAGATTCAGGAGCAAACTGATGCTGGATGATAGAACTGGAGATCTCACTATCAGTAACGTCAGAACAATTCACTCTGGACTCTATAAACTAAACATCATCAGCAGCAGCAGAAGCAGAAGCACCATAAAAACCAAACACAAGAGATTCAATCTTACGGTCAATGGTAAGTATATCTCAACTCTTCCAGTGTGCTAATGATTTCTTAGATTGCTTGCATGTATAGGGCCACGCAATTCATAATGTCATGAGAATAAAGCCTATACAATTAGGAGATTAAAGTTGTAATATTGCATGAATAAATAGGCATATTTTGAGGAGAAATAAGTCACAAAATGATAAATGCATGATCAGGAATCATAGATAATCAAAGATTGAGGCTGGTTTGACAATATCGATTACCCATTTGTAATGGATCTTCATTACTTAAGGCTATATCTACATTAATCCATTTACACGACACCGTTTTCAACTAAAAACTAGAAATATTGTGCGTTTTGGCTGTCTATTTACACAATAACAGTGTTTTGAGGGACTGAAAAGCAAACTTTTGATAACGGGTTTTAAAGTACATGCTTTCTGGAAAAACAAAAATGCAAATTTGTGAAAATTTGCTTTTCTTTACAAAGCTACATTCCCATCTACTGGCCTGGCAGAATAATATAATGTTTTTTGTAATTTTCATGGTTCTCCGTAAAAGCAGATCGTTTTGAAACACTTGAATAAATCTGCAATGAAAACTACAATTTATGACGCAGCTGTTTAAATGTTTATTTAACCAACTGCAGTAACAAAAGTAGGTTATTTCATAAAGAGAAAATAAATAAAAACTCATTTTAAATGTTTGTTTACAACTCCGTTTGTATTGATTGTTGATTATTTCATCTTAAGAATAATTCTGGACCAAGAGGATTCCCTGTATAGTTTACAGCATTAGCCATTAATCTCATGTAAATGTATGTGATATTGAAAATGCAAACACAATTCATTCAGTTGCTTGTGTTTCTCTGTTTCTGTGTGCTGCTGTGACATGAAGTGAGTCAATGTCAGTGAAGGAGGGAGTTTCTGTCCTTCTCCAGACTGTTGCTGAGATTCAGACGGATGATCGCATACTGTGGATGTTTGGAGCTCAAAACCGTCTCGTTGTTATTAGTGACTCAGGAAAGATGAGTATTGGTAAGCAATTTACAGACCGACTGAAGCTAAACATGACGATTGCTGACCATCAGAAACATCAGAATCACAGACTTTTTAAACTGCAAATCGGTATTTGTTTGTGTTTAGTAAGATACATGTATAAAATGTATGCAGTACATGGATAATTGTGCATGCATCTATTAATCATTTTGAGTCTAATATCATCCCATATTGGAAGGCCGCGTCGGCAAGGATGCAGCTAGAATTTGGCGCTTTTAGAAGAAATATCCGATCCTTATAACATTCTAAATGGAACTCCACAGGGTAGTGCAATTAGCCCAATATTGTTTAATTTAATGATTAATGATGTTTTTGATAAAGTAAAAAAAACAGGAATAGGATTAGCACTTTATGCAGATGATGGAGCATTATGGAAGAGAGGACGCAATATTAAAAATGTAGTTAAAGGCATACAGGAATCAATTAAAACAGTGGAGAAGTGGTCCCTGGATTGGGGTTTAAAATTTTCAGATTCAAAAACAAAATATATGTTATTTACTAAGAACAAGAAGATTGAACATTTAGATTTGAAGTTGTATAATCAAACATTGGAAAGAGTACCTGTTTTTAAATACCTTGGTTTATGGTTTGATGAAAAATTAACATGGAAACTGCATATAAGTAAAATTGAATCAAAAGCTAGAATGATCATAAATTGCATGCGTACAGTTGCTAGTCACAATTGGGGAGCTAGTCGTAGTGCATTGTTGTGTATGTATCAAGCATTGATTCATTCCTGCTTTGACTATGGGTGCATTGTATATGGGTCAGCAACCAAATCTTTACTTAAAAAATTAGATATCATTCAATCCAGAGCATTAAGAATATGTTGTGGAGCAATTAAAACATCACCTGTAGATGCAATTGGGGTAGAAATGGGCGAGATGCCTCTTGAATTTAGAAGGATAAAATTGACAATGATGTATTGGATGAATCTTCAACAATCAGTAAGGACTCATCTCACTCGTAAAGTACTGTGTATATCATGTACTTTTTAGGTGTAGTAAATATAGTATATATCGTGACATATTATTTAGTCACTTTGGGGAGGAAAGATTGACACATGAAGATATTTTAGCAAAAGGTTTAATGGATAGACAGGTATACAGAGCACTAATTAAATATATCTATGACTCAGGTTTAAGATCTAGATTATAATATGTGTGGATGGGAGTATTCTACCTAATCTTGGGCATGAAGAGCTAATTGAGAGTGTTAGAGGAGCTGAACACGCAGCGCTAGCATGAGCATGTGATCTGAGTGTGCCATAGATTGGATAGAATAGGAGACATCCACCATGGTTTTTGGGTGTTTAGAAGGGTTTTTTTTTACCACATGAGATTGCAGTGTTACTGAGTGAGCTCTCGTCTCTTCAAAGATACAATTTAGAAGACATCTCCTTCACCTACATAAATGTTTAAATTATATATATATATATATATATATCCCTGCAGAATCAAACACACTGAAGACCTAACAGGTTGGTGTTTATTCTTCATTAATGAGGCTGAAGGTAATAAAGCTTGAGGCAGTTTTAAATCTGGATTTATTGTAATAGGAAAAAAAATCTTTAGAGCTGTTCAATAATCTTGCTGAAGCCGCAAACAATAAGGGACACTTCTATCTCGCAAGAGTCGCTGTTTTTATATGCAGTAATATTAGGACTTTTGTCTGTGATGCATTTGTGTTATTCGCAGAGGAGCTACAGAGCGCTCAACATGAAAGCCGTTTAATTGTGATGATAGAGCAGATAACTAAACAATCAAACATCTGCTTACACTTTAGGCCTGTGGCTGTGATATTAAGCTAATTTTATTGTCGATTTTGTTAAGATATCAGATAAAAGTATTAAAAACTAGCTGCGTTTAGTGCAGCTACTTTCCCTTCACATTAGTTTTTTCCCTAAAACCCAAAATTAATGTCAGAATCAGGAAAATCGGTGATTGTTGTAAAATGCAGTCTTTACTGTTGCTAAATTGCGGGACATGTTAACATGATAAAACGTTGAAAGCACAATAATCCACATGAAAGACTCCGTTCCCCGGCTGAGTTGTGTCTGTGGGGTCCAAAACAGACAAGCAAAGTACACTTTGGGCTTTGGGTGTGCGTCCAAACGATCAAATACACACAAAAATATGTCAAAAGTGCCCGACGGTACTCACTTAAACACAGTTTATGTCTTAAGTGAACATGAACACCTGGGAGAAAATCTGATGTGTGTGAATATATGCAGTCACCTTCTGAAGATTGGGCTAGCAATGTTAATCAAACAACAAAATCACTCACAGCTCATGTTGTTTATTACTGCATATAATTCATTAAAATAGAAGTTTAATTTAATTTAGTAAAAGTTTATTTTAAAATACACCTACATTTTTTGCATTTTGTGTTTTTCAGTTGAAAAATAAACAATGCAGTTGCAGTTGATTTCCTTATATATTTCATCATTGAGGATTTCTTTAAAAGTCTAAATATCTTGAATCGTCTCATGTCTCGTCACGCACCTACTGAACAGTAATGTTAGCAGACCTCCATGAAAAAATTAAAGCACTGTTTTTTTTCTGCATTTGTATCTTTGTTTTATTGTATTTGACAGTTTGATTTACTTTTGTTTCTTTGTTTGTGTTCTTATTGTATCTTATGTAAATAAAACACTAAAATGCGTGCACACTGGTGCATTTACAAATGTATGTTTTATATTAATTTCATTTAATGAAATGTATTTTACATTTTAGAATATAAACAAATGTTAAAAATAAAATAATCATTCAATAATTATAATCAAGTTAAAGTGTTCAATTAATTGAGGTTTTGATTTTAGGTCATATCGTCCAGCCCTATTTCCGCTATTATATCATTGTTAATTTTTATGTCCTTTCACAGTTTTTTTTTTCAATTGAAGAAAATGAGGAGAATGAAGAATCGAAGTGAAGTTGAGGAGAAAAATCATGTCAAAACTGGAGGAAAACCCTTGAGCTGCTCTCAAACAAAAGACCCCAAAAAATATATAAAGAAAAGAAGAGCCAAGAAATGTTTCACCTGCACTCAGTGTGGAAAGAGTTTTACATACAGAAGTCTTGATGTTCACATGAGAGTTCATACTGAAGAGAAACCATTCACTTGTGATCAGTGCAGGAAGAGTTTCACACAACCATCAAACCTTAAGAAACTGGAGAAAAACCTTTGAGTTGCTCTCAAACCAAACAGAAGGATTTAAAGAAAAGAAGAGCCAAGAAATGTTTCACCTGCACTCAGTGTGGAAAGAGTTTTACATACAGAAGTCTTGATGTTCACATGAGAGTTCATACTGAAGAGAAACCATTCACTTGTGATCAGTGCAGGAAGAGTTTCACACAACCATCAAACCTTAAGAAACACAGGAAGATTCACACTAGGGAGAAACATTACAAGTGTTCACACTGTGACAAGAGATTCAGTCAGTCAATACATCTGAAAAGACATGAGAGGATTCACACTGGAGAGAAACTGTACACATGTGATCAGTGCGGCAAAACATTTTTGAGAGCTTCATACCTGAAGCAGCACCTGAGAGTTCATACAAAGGAGAAGCCACATTCATGTTATTTGTGTGGAAAGAGTTTTGCATTTCTACAATATTTAAAATACCATCAGAAAATACACACTGGCGTGAGAGAGTACATGTGCTTTGAGTGTGAAAAGACTTTTACTTCAGCAAAGTGTTTAAAACGGCATGAGAGGATTCACTCTGGAGAGAAACCTTACAAGTGTTTACACTGTGACAAGAGATTCAGTCAGTCTTCAAATCTCAAAAGACATCAGAGGATTCACTCTGGAGAGAAACCGTTCACATGTGATCTGTGCGGAAAGAGTTTCACACTAAAAGAAGAACTTCTAGTACATATGAGAGTTCATACTGGAGAGAGACCATTCACTTGTGTTCAGTGTGGGAAGAGTTTCACACGATCATCACACCTTAAGGATCACATGAACATCCACACTAGAGAAAAACTGTACACATGTGATCAGTGCAGCAAAACATTTTTGTGGGCTTCATACCTGAAGAATCACCTGAGAGGTCATACAAAGGAGAAACCACATTCATGTCATTTGTGTGGAAAGAGTTTTTCATGTTTAAAATATTTAAAAGACCATCAGAAAATACATACTGGTGTGAGAGAGTACATGTGCTTTGAGTGTGAAAAGACTTTTACTACAGCGAACCATTTAAAACGGCACATGAGGATCCACACTGGAGAAAAACCGTATCACTGCACTGCATGTGGGAAGTGTTTCAATCAATCATCTAATCTACACAGCCATACAAAAAACATTCACAGTAAGTAGATCATCTTCAGATCCAGCACTTTCAGATCTGATGCTGCGTCTTCACCAAATGTGACACAATGAATCAAACAATAAAATATCATCTGGATTAGGGATGTCAACGATTAATCAATGATTGATTAATTGTCGATAAGAGATTTTGAAAACTCGCGGTAAATCCTGTCCAGCCAGCATCAGTCTGATGCAGAACCAGCATGAAATGTTGTTGTTGGTTTTTTTTTTGGTTTTTTTTTTTTGCACGAGACGAAATGGCGGAAGGCAGTGATAGCGCGTGGGAGATTTTTTTATTAACTTCTCTACACAGACATACAAAAAACATTCACAGTAAGTAGATCATCTTCAGATCCAGCACTTTCAGATCTGATGCTGCGTCTTCACCAAATGTGACACAATGAATCAAACAATAAAATATCATCTGGATTAGGGATGTCAACGATTAATCAATGATTGATTAATTGTCGATAAGAGATTTTGAAAACTCGCGGTAAATCCTGTCCAGCCAGCATCAGTCTGATGCAGAACCAGCATGAAATGTTGTTGTTGGTTTTTTTTTTGGTTTTTTTTTTTTGCACGAGACGAAATGGCGGAAGGCAGTGATAGCGCTTGGGAGATTTTTTTCAGCCATCTAAGAGGAACAAATCGGTGGTCTGGTCGTATTTTGGCTTTTACAAGAGTCCTGTAGGCAATTTAATCGAGGACGGTCACCCTGTCTGCTGATCTTGCAAGAAGAAAGTCGCTGCAAAAGGGGGAAACGCATCAAATTTGCTCAGTCATCTTCGTGACCACCACCCACTGTTATATAGCGAATGCAAGGTAGCTTTTACCTCAATACCAAAACTAACTGGGCAAATAATTGGACAAAAAATATTGATTAGAGATTAAATATTTCGTTATCTCACTTGTAATTAACGCAAAGCTTCCGCGAAGAAAAGTTCTCATGGCTTTGAGCCAAGACGAACGAACGTTCAAACTATGAGGTTGACATTTAAAGGGATACATTCATAGTTAACTTATTACACAGAATTTTTTTTGTTTACCTATAATAATATATAAATACGGGGATATGAAATATTGAATTGAGATTAATGTTTTGAAATCTTGCCTGTTTATAAATCCATTATGAACAGTGTACAAAACAATTGTCAGGACAATATGATCACTACAGCAAAATTATAGTAGTATTAATGCTAAATTCCTCTGATTTCATTTTCAAACAATCAAAAACTGAGACGCAAGACGGCAAGCTGCATTTGAATGAAACGAGAGAGCCGCGTCCGCGCCTCTGCGGTGATACAAGAGACATGGGCGAATTCCAAACAGAAGTGAGCATCCCTATGCCCTACTCCCTTCGAAGGGCAGAGCCCTTGAAGTGTGTTCTTTGAAGGGTGCAGGGTATTACTGTCTTGTATAAGCGTTTGAAACTCCCTTGGCATAGGGAATGACTGACCAAATGTTCCCTTGACAACGCTGCGCGTGCGTGCAGCATTCTGTACTCCAGTTGTTGCAAATAAATATTTATTATTATTATTATTAGGGCCCAAGCCAGAAAGGCGCAGGGCCCTATTG